CTGAAATTTATTATACAAAATCAATATATTATGTTGATTTTGTATACTACGACGCTGCTGAATTTATTTTTTGTGAGCGTGTGTGTGTAGAATATGTAGGGTTTCTTACAATTAAGATCTTGTCTTCTGTGAACAAAAACATTTTTCTTCTTCCTTTCAATTTAGATGCCTTTTATTTCTTGCTTAATGTTCTAGCTAAAACTTAACAATACTATGTTGAGTAGAAAAAGTAGTTTTGGTGATAGAATTTATACTGTGAAAGTGATGTAAATCTATTTTTTAAAATTCTGCTTTAGGGTGCATGTACTCACCAGAGAGACAGAGACGGGGGAGTTCTTTTTCTGTACTCCTCTTGGGATTCTGGGCATGCATACATATTTACCTGGCATGTTTTCAACCCACTCAGTCTAGGACTCAAACCATGCAGTTGGCCATGTGGGATCCAGTTGCCTTAACTAACATGCCAACAGCTGACCTGCCAATCTATTTCTTATAGATATGGTAGAGTATATGTACTTTAAAAATATGACTTTAGAAATCCCCATTTTTCCAGACTAGCAGATGAGGTAATGGTTATGTCACTGAACTCCCACATGGCCAACCACAGTTCAAGTCCCAGACCCAGAGACTTAAAACTCATGCCGGGCACATGTTTGTGTGTGCACAAAATCCCAAGAGGAGAATGGAGGAGGAGGGATTGTGGCATGGCCATCCCCCCTCGGGGGTGATTTCTCACTTTCTATCTTAGTCTCTCTGGTGAGCACACATACCCTATAGCAAAAAATCTCTAATAAAAACCCCCAAAATTCCCATTTTTATTTTTAGTCCAAATTACTTAAATAGAAAAGGCTATTTTTATGGAGAAGCAACTTTTCTTACTAGCCAGTTTGATACCTTGTATTAATGGTAATCCTTGGTTAACTGAGATGCTTACACTGAAATTGTTGCCTTTGAGTGTAAATACACTGTACTTCCCTTCTGTGCTATACTCATGTCGTGTTCTTATTTTAGTATTCTAAGATTATGTCCTCAGAAGATTAGGTCATTTGATGTTGCTAATCCCCCCCCCTTTTTTTTTAAAGATCATTTGTTTCTGAATTCCCAAAATGATTCTAGCCTGACATATTTTATCAGCTTGAATTTGATTTTAACCTTTAACACATGTACTAACAAGAGAGAAACAGAACAAGTCACCTGCTAGCCTGGATTGAGCATTTCTTAATAATTACATTTTATCCCATTGGTTGTCTTAGTAACTGTAACTTCTATCATTTTTACTTGTTGCCGTAGGGATTATTAAATCTATCTTCCCTGCATCTAAGAGGAAATTCCTCTTGGTTGTGGTGTATTATTATTTTTATATATTGCAAAATTCTCTTGACTAATATTTTGTTGATACTCTGTGCATCTGTGCTCTTGAGAGAAATTGTTTCGTTTTTTGAGTTTTTTTTGAGAGGTTTTTGCTTTAGGGCATGTGCGCTCACCAGAAAGACAAAGAAAGAGAGAGAGACAGAAAGCAAGAAATCACCCCCTGGGGTAGATGGCCACACTCCGGTCCCTTCTCCTCCAGTCTCCTCTCTGGATCGTAGGCACACATACACATGTGCCCAGTGTGAGTTTTAAGCTGCTGGGTCCAGGAGTCAAACCAGACTTTGACTACGTGGGAGTCCAGTGACATAACCATTAGACCATCTGTGGTCCTGCAACCCTTCTTATTTTCTAATAACACTTTTGAAAAAAGCATTTAGTGTTATTAAATTCCCTCTAACTTTTGCTTTAGATACACCTTTAATTTTCAGTTAAAAAAAAAGAAAAAAATGTTTCCTCTGAGATCCTTCCATATTCATTGATAATTTTAAAATGTATTGTTTAATTTCTAGAATTTGGAACATTTCTTAGCTTAATTCCCTTGTGATCAAAGATCATACTTTGTATGACTTTAGCTCTTTTAAGTTTATAAAGTTTGTTTTATGACTCAGGAAATGGTCTATCTTGGTTAATATTCTATATGTAATTGAACAGAATTTGTACTCTACTTTTGGTGGGAGGAGGATCACTTATAGATGTCAGTTAGATCTCCATGGTTTATGATATTGACCAGCTTTTCTATATCCTTGCTGATATTATCTGATATGTCTAGGGAGAGATATTGACCCTTATTTCTGTCTAGGTACTCACTGGAAAATAGGCACTAAATGAATGACCTGAGATACCTTTCTGTAAGGTAGAAAGAAGATTTTGTAAAAATTCATATTTTTAAATTATAATGTCATACCAACAACTCCGTCATTAAAAAGTTGGTAAAACTGTGCCCTGCAGGATGAAACACAATAGACAGTATTTCTGTTGGCTCTGGACAAATTTTTGTGCTAACTGGGACAGAGTAAGATTTAAGAAAGGAAAACTAATCCTTCGTTAATAGTCAGGTTTTTTCCCTTCCCCTATAGTGAGAGACAGGAAAAAGAAGTAAGTCTTTGATGCTAAATTTCCATGAAACTTTGAAGACAAGAAAGATCAACATGCCCTGAGAAGTGCTTTGGAAATATAAAGATTCAGCCAAAAGGGTTTTCTTAAGCCTGAGGCTATTCTGTGCATAGTTTATGCAGTAATATCAATTAAAAATTGGTTAGAAAAGTACAGATTTTAACTTACATTTGGTTTTTGTAATCTGAACTCTTCAAGATTACCTATCTGTTCTTTAGGTCCTTTTCCCTACCCCTGTCAAAAGTAGGGATTAGCAATAAATGTCCTATTATGAAAATAGCAGCTGCTATGAGGTAGGTTTTTGTATAGTCTATGAAATGTAATGAACTCCTATTATCTTTCCTGATTCATATAATCCTTACTAGTTTGCCAGATAAGGTTTTCGTTTTATTACCAGAGGGTGCCTGTGCTTTCCGGAGAAAGACACAGAGACAGAGAAGGAGAAAGCACTCCCCAAAGTGGGATGTAGTCATGCTATAATCCCTTTTCCTCCTGTTGAGTTTCGGGGAATGCATACACATGCACATAGCACTCTTTTTTTTACCCCCTAAACTGCGTAGGCTGGGCTTTGAACCATAGTCGGCCATGTAGAATCTGGCCACAGAGCTGGCCTTAGAATTTTTATTTTTATTTTTAGAGTCTCAAATGGTTAAGTGATTTTTCTCAGGTTGTAAAATCATGTAGAAGAAAAGGACAGATATTCTTGTTTCTATTGATAGTTAAATGTCTTTTTCTATCATACTCTGCCTCTGAAAAGATATACATGTTTTCTCTAAAACTTCAGCAAGAATTGTCTTTTTTTTTTTAAATTGCCACAGGGCATATGTGCCTGCCAGAGGGACAGAAAGAGAGAGCAAAAGAACAAGCCACCCCTCAGTGAGGTGTGGTCATGTCATAATCCCTTTTCTTCCATTTCTCCATCATGTCAAGATTTTGGGCACACACATGCCTGACATGTTTTTTGTATCACCGAGACTAGGATTTGAACTGTGGTCAGCCATGTAGGATCCAGTTCCCTTCACTATTAGGCTCTGGAGCTGGCCTAAGAATTAGCTTTTACTTGAAAGACATTTTTATTGCTCTTGTACATATTTCAATGAATACATACAGTTTCATCCATTAATTTAAAAGATTATTAGAAAGATTAATAAGCTTTCAAATAATAACTTATGTGTATCTTATATGAAGCTATTTAAAATTCTTTGGTTATTTACCCATCGGAAAATATTATTTTATTTTTCGCTATAGGGAATGTGTACTTGCTGTAGAAACAGAGAGATGAGGGGCAGGAAGTGAGAGGGCACCCCCCAGGGGTGGTGACCATGCCACAATTTCTTTCCTCCATTCTCTTTGGATTTGGGGGCACACATGCACATGCATTCGGTGTTTTTCAAGCCACTGAGTCTAGATCTTGAACCATGTAGTCGGCTATGTGTGATCTAGCCACCTTAACCGCTATTCCACCCAGCTGGCCCTGAAACTATAAATCTTTTATTTGTTTTTGATGATAATACTTTTATCTGTTTCATTTACTATAAATATTTTCTTCATTTAATTAAGAATTTTTTTTGGGGGGGGACCAGCAGTTAGCATAATGGCTATGTTGCTGGACTCCCATGTAGTCTACCGTTGTTCACGTCCAGAACCCGGTGGCTTAAATTCACGCCAGGTGCGTGTGCGCGAGTGCCCAAGATCCCAAGAGGAGAATGGAGGAGAAGGGATTGCGGCGTGGCCATCCCTCCTGGGAGGTGATTTCTCACTTTCTGTCTCTCTGTCTCTCTCTGTCTGTCTGGCGAGCACACGCGCCCTGTAGCAAAAACCTCTCAAAAAAAAAAAAAAACATTAAAAAAAAAGAATTTTTTTTTTACTACTTTTCATTGGAACAAATGAAAAAATTTAGTTATGAAATATTTCTTATAACTCATTAATTTTAATGAAGGGTTAAGAAATGATTTTTCTTTAATAGTCGGAATAAGTATTCTATTAAAATTTCATTTTCTGGGGGGGACTAGCAGTTGGCATAATGGCCATGTCGCTGGACTCCCACATAGTCGACTGTGGTTCAAGTCCCGGACCCGGTGGCTTAAACTCACACTAGGTGCATGTGTGTGTGTGCCCAAGATCCGGAGAGGAGAATGGAGGAGAAGGGATTGTGGCGTGGTCATCCCCCTGGGGGGTGATTTCTCTCTTTCTGTCTCTCTGTCTCTCTCTCTGTATTTCTGGTAAACCCATGCACCCTATAGCAAAAACCTCTGCCAAAAAAAATTCATTTTCATTTTTTTCTATTTAGTTTTATATATAGTGATGTGTTTTCCCTTATAGTAATTTTTTTCTATTTGTCTACACATTTTAAGCCATCTTATGTTCTCTGTATAACTCATCATTTCTGCATGTGTACAGGTCCATGATTTGATCAACAACAAATTTGTAGTTTATTTGAAGAAGTTATATATGCTATTTTGATACGTTTATATTTATTTGACATTTAATTATTTAAATGTGTGTTTTTTTAATAGATTATCTTTCTCAAGGAATAGACCTTTCTGGAATAGAAGTTATAGAAAACGATCTACTTTTTATTGCAAGAGCTCGACTTGAAGTGGAAAATCAAGCTAAGCGCCTACTGGAACAGGGTGTAGAGACTCAGGTAATAAAAATAGAATTTCTTTTTTAATATAAAAAGGTATGTTATAATACAGTTGAACATTTGACTTTGAGTTAAAAATGTATGTCATCATTTTATTTCTGATGAACAGTGTCTGCAATTTAAGAAGGAGAGCAGGGCTACAGAAGTAAAGAGAACAAATATTTAATGTATATTTAATATATCTAATTATAAAATAGACCTAAGCTTTCTAATGCATAATGTATAGAATATGAAATATGCTTTTTTTATAGGCTGTACCTGTCTAGATTAATAGCATACCTGTGGCATATGCCATGCTTTGTCCAAGGGACTGTTACCTATGTGAACCTTTCAACTTTATTGCTATTTCCATTTTATAGGTATGGAAATAGAAAGCTTAAATAAGTTGTTGAAGGTCACATAGCTAGTGAATGATATAGTTTGGATACAAATTTTAATCACTTTCATCCCAGAACCTTGGACCCTTAATCACTATGCCATAATTTAAAATAAATTCAACTTAAGATTTTTCCTGGGCTCAGCAGGTGGTGTGATGATTGAGGTGTTGGACTCCCACATGGCAGACCAGAGTTTGAGTCTCGGACCTGGCAGCTTGCTTTCTCACTTTTTCTCTCTCCCTCTCCCTCTCTCTGTCTCTGGTGAGCACACATGCCCTATAGCAAATTAATAATAATAAAAATAATAATAAAATTAAATAATTATTTTCAAAAATAGTTTTTTCCTAAGGAATCATTTTCCTGATGCCTATTTTTCTGAATTAGAAGAAATGCAAAAGTATTGATGTGTAAGAATATACAAGTTGCAATTAAATCTCATTTAATTAATTATGCATTGTGTTGATAGTTTCTCCCTTTTTATTTGCCCTAAATACAATTATTAATATTTTGGGATTTTTAAATATAGGAATTTCATTTTGTACATTTTAACTGGGCAAAAACAGTGTGATTAATATTCAGTTTTTAAAATACTGTCTGAATCAGAAAAGCACTTATTTGGCTTCTGAATATAAATAGTTTTAATTTTCAAACTATAACAATATCAGTTACTTTTAAAAATACGCTCTTAAAATTGAATATACATAATGAAAAGTGAACAAATCATAAATGTACATAAAGAATAAAGTACTACAGTGTGAACATTTCCATGAAATCAAAACCCAGATGAAGAAATAGCCTGTTACCAGTGATCCTAGAGTCTCTTCACCCTCTTTCATGATTACTACTTTTTTCTCTTTCCCAAATGTATCCATTATCTTAATTCTAACATGAGAGATCAGTTTCATCTACTTTTTCAACTACACTCTATTCTGTGACCTCTCTATGAGGATAACATGTTTATGCTCTTGGCCAGCTGTGGTAGTGCTGGCTGCTACTGCTTGGCCGGTTGAGGCCACAAGGAAGGCCAAGGTCTGATTCCAGGCCCCCCCTAAAATGCTGCACACAGTGGTGCACCTATGGTCCCAGCTACTCTGAAGGCTGAGGCAGAAGGATCATGAGCGTCTGTCCAGTGTGGGTAACACAGTGAGACTGAAGGAGGCGGTCACGTTAATGTGTACCTGTGGTCCTAGCAGTTTTGATAGTGGAGGCAGGAGGATTGTGACAAAGTGACAAAGTGAGACTCTGTCTCAACTACCACACACATACACACCAAATATGCTTGTACTGTTTTTAAAAATTGTGTATGTGTCTACATTAATTAAGAGAAAATACCTTTTTTAGATTCTCAAAAGAGAAGGAAAAACAAATCCTATTAATCAAAATTTCTGTCATGAATTAAGAAAGGACAGTTGCTTTCCTGAGAAGTGACCTCTGGGTTTGACTCTGTAACCTTTTTTCCTATATAAATTATACCTTCTTTGGGGTTTTAGACTGGGAATTGACTTCCTATTACATATTTTCCTCTTCCTTATATGGTTCTTTTTATCTCCAAAATCCATATATTCATCCAGGGCTTAGTACTCTTTTTCTCCGTTCCAAATCCCACAATTTTGGATGTTTCCACACCCATGGAGATGATTATTCTCTTATATTCAGCTCATAGTTGTGTGAACATTTGCCTAAACCTGAATATAGTGCCCTTCTGTTCTGCCTTTAGAATTTTTTTTTCTCACATTATCATCCTTGATTATTGTCATCATCAGGATTTGGTCTATATCTCCAGTGTCTCATTCCTTGACTATAGATTCCTAATGTTTTGTCCTGTCAGTCCTCTTTTCTTATTGTTATTCATAATTCATTTATTCATCTAGAATATCAATCTTTTAACTCATAAACACTATTTTATCATTTACTTACTTACTTAATTATTATTATTATTTTCACATGAGTTTGTCAGAGAAAGGCAGAGAGAAAGAGAGAGAGAGAGAGAGAGA